GGACTCTCATGGTGAAGGGCTGCAGCCCACTCCATCAAACCTCCTACACACAGGGCTGGTAGGGCAGCACCCTCCTGCTATCCCCCTGGGCAGCCTGTTTTGCTGCAATTATACACCACACGTGTTCATCAAGGGGAACAGCAGACACGGTGGATTTGCTGCCCCTCGGGGAGCCAGCGGGTAGCCCTCACAACGTCACAGGGCTCCCCTGTGCACATTGCAGAGAGAAAACAAACACCTCGAGGCCTTGTGCAAACTCCCAGCGCCAGAGGTGCTTTGAGACCCACAGTGCACATGGCTGTACCTGTAGGGTGTTCTTGGGGCCAAGCAGGTGACTGAACTACTCCTGCACTGACCAGCTCCTCTCACCCACAGGAGTAACAGTGGAGAGGACATGGGAGCAAGGAAAGTCTGTGGCTTCTGAGATGGCAATATATACATGTATCCAGTTGTCTTTCTGGCCTCAAATTCCTCGAGAAAACATTCTAAAGGTAGACTGAAAATACACCCAGAACACTCCCCAAGGTTAAACAGCTAAAGAACACTTGGTGCTTGGAGGTTTTTGCTTGCTTTGCACAAAACAACAACAACGCAGAACCTTTGTAACCTTTCTGAACTTAAGAAATAGCTGCACATGCTGTGTGCCCATCCCCTTCTATCCCCACACTCCTATGGTGGCTGCTTTAGCATTATGAGGAAGTATTCAGATTTTGGTGTCTATCCAAACTTGGAGCATCACTGACACATGTACAGCAAACTCTGAACTGTGTCCAAACACCATTTACAGAAAAGCAACGCTAGTGCCTCCAGTTCTGCCCAGTTTCCCCAAGGCAGCTGCAGTTGCCTCTGAGGAGCTGCCAGTTCAGCTCCACTTACTGCTGCTCTTGGCATCCCTTGCTTTAAGCTAACAAGGAAGCAAATTCCTGGACTGGATACTCTTAACATGAGACCATGGCAATACCAATGACACTGTGGGAGATCTGGACAGAGGTAGGACTTTTCTGTGTGTTACTTGAGAGCTTTCAAGAAAGTTTCAAGACCTCCCCAGCAACAGCTGGCCCTGCAGAGGTGCATGGAAGGAGCACTCCTGCCTCAGCAGACAGTACTAAAATACTCAAACCTAGATTTTAATAACATCCAAGAACACAACAGCATTAATTGGATGTTTTTCCCAGAAACAAGAAATAGGTATCTAAATCAACTGAAAGGAAATCATTACTGTGACACAACTGGAGTGGTGGATTATGTGAGTCTTTCCTGCAGAGCTTACAGTCACCTCACTGAGGTGAATCCATGTGGGGCTGTGAATCCCTGAGTGAAAAAACAACAGAAATGAAAAGCACGGTACTCACTCAGCCATGGCCACGTCTGTGTTGCAGCAGTGCTGGAACCTTGTGCCCACCTCAGACCTTCCAATGGCTCCTACAGAGTTGCCGAGCAGCACCACAGCCAGAGAGCAGGATAAGCCCTGCAACCACCCACACTCAGGTGCAGGGACTTTGCTGGACCCACAGGAAATGAGCCAGGACTCTGATTGAAAATGGCCTTCACCTGTCTGATACAAACCCCTCTCTTTGCAAAGCCTGTGGAGACCATCCAGAGTCAGGGAGGGGGCAGTTTTTAGCCTTCACAAAGGCTCTGTCATGGCAGGTGCCTGCTCCACACACTGGCTCCCCTGCTCTGGTGATAACTGGTTATTCAGCTGGAGTTTCTTTTCATCAAAGAGGATTTGAGCATCCCCTCTCCAGACCCTCAGCCTCTCAGTGCCCGGTTCCCGGCCTGCGCTCCCCGGCCATGGCGTGAGGGGAGCCGGCGGCCATTTCCCCAGGCCGGGGGTCCCTGAGGTTTCCAAGGCCACAGTGCTGGCTGTTTGCAGGGATGGACAGTCCCTTCCAGGGAAACACGTCCAGCTCAGCGTACAGGGTGTGTTTCTGGTTCTACCAGAGGCAGGATTTCACATTGTAACAGCTTTGGAGAAAATATGGAATAAATATCCAAAGTAGAGCACTTGTTGCTCGGAGCCCCACAGCGCCCAGAGAACAGCTCACCCGAGCAGAAACACAAACTCATCTGAAACGGTTTCTTACGTAAAAGCTCTCTTCAGGAGTGATGTGAATTTTTGACAGGGGTTCCCTCTGCTCCACTGAGCCTCTGCCTCTGCCCTGCCAGGAGCCCTCAGGAACGTGTTTGTTTTCTCTCGCTCTGAGCCTGGCTGCAGGCTGGTTCTGAGGGAAGTCAGCGGTGTCAGGGGGGCTGAGTCCCCTTCTGAGGAAACAAAGTGCGGCTTAGGGGGGGTGAAGTCCCCTCCTCCATCCTCCCAGACCATCAGAGCAGTTCAGGCACGTCGGGCTCTGCTCACACCCACAACAGCCACGCGTTTCTTGCTCTGAGGGGTGACCAGTCAAGGCAGTGAGTTCACTCTACAAGCGGCCACACTCCTCCTGGGTGCAGGAAAGCCCCTGCAGAAAGGGTCTCTCGTGCCCTGATTCCCTCCAGCACAGCTCAGGGAGGATATGTGTCCCCCCCCCAGGCTGTGCTTGCAGCCACTGCCCCTTGTTCCAGCCCTTGGTGGAGCATCTGGAGTCCTTCACCTTCACCAACTCCCTCATTTCCCCTTCAACCCAAGCCCAGCCACCCCATGCCCAGCCACCCCACAGCAGCTGAGAACGGAAGTGAAAGTTTTGTCTGGGCAGAGAGAGGCTTCTCCTGAACAGAAAAAACAACACATAGACAGAAAATGTGCTTTGGTAGCAACAATGTCAATGGGGTTTTGCCACTTCTCATTTGATCATGACTCTTGCTCTATTTGGTGTTTTCACTCCATCCCCACTTTTCTGAAATCCCGTTAGAATTTTATTTTGAAGCAAAGTCCGCGTCTAGTTTTGTGGCTGTGACACAAAGTTTGGAAGCGTGGTCCATAGCTCTGAAAAACTCAGGAAAAAACCTGTAATGCTCCCATGTACCCATGCCCCCTGTACACATGTCTGCACCTTTTCCTTCTGCTGTGGGTAAAGCTGAGGGTATGCACAGAAATATGGGCACTTTGTTTGTATTTATCAAAGCCAAAAGGGGACACAGGGTTTTAAATAATCAACCACTGTACATATTATAGCTATAAATATATATATATATATATATATAAATACAGAGCATTCGTATACATTTGCATTCTCATACTGCTTTAATGACTTCTGTTAGGCTTTTAATCCCTCAGTGTACAAGAGGCTTCTGGAATCTAATGTACAGATTCAGGAGAATCTATCAATCTTGCATGGCAGGGCTGTAATTAAGAATGGTTGAGCGAGGGGGCGTGTGAGCAGCAGGTTGGGTAGACCTTTCATTTGCAGACAAGCTCTCAGAGTAAGTTATTCTTCCCTGATTTATATTATAAAATACACTTTAATCTGTTGCAAACAAAACCTATTCAGAGTTGTGTCATTTCTGAGACATACAGGCAAATGAGTGAGGATGGAGGAGTCCAAGGGTAACAGGAACTAAAAATACATGTTTAATTCTTTACTAGGGCATTTCAGCGTAATTCCAGTTTGGATTATTGCAGCTTCTGCTGCTGGAATATCTGGCTTATTACTCAACAGAACCCGGAGGCCGGGAGAAGGAGTTTAGGGGATACAGAGTGTTACATAGAAAAAACAAGAATTAGGCTGTAGGTGTTTCCTAAGCACAAGAGCTCATGTAATCTAAGTTTTCTGTGGGAATCTGGTGTAGTAGTTGTGGTACCTTCCTGTTGCCAAAGATGAGAGTTTTTCCAGTGATCTCAGGGAAATTAATCAAAAAAGGATAAGGAGTTGTTGGTCTGATAACACAGGACTACAGAGTTGATTTTAAAGGTGTATTGGATAAGGCTTACAAAACAAGGAGAAATTGGAATCAGTTACTCTTACCAGTTCTTTTATGGTCTATTAACAGTTACTTCATTTTTCCATCTCTTATGTGTTTGATAAGGTGTAGATCTTGTTACAGCATGACTTTATAATCATTCATTCATTTCCCATGCACAGTAGAGGAATAACTGCTGCAGCAGTTTGCAGTGTGGTCCCTGCTCTGAGTGTTTCTTTGTCTCTGTAACTTCATCTCCGGCTTGGCAACATCTGCTGAGAGCAGGCAGTGAGAATCCTTAACCCTGCCAGAACACAGCCCAGAGAGCATCTGAAACTCTCCCCTGTCTGCTGGCTGGATTATTCCATGAAAGCCAGCAGATGCAGCCTGTGTGTGTGCCTGCCTAGGGGAGGGTCCCTGTACCTGAGATCCTCTGCAGATATGAGCAGTGTCTCGTGGGGAACTCTCATTCAGTATGCGGAATAAAATCACGGTGGCACCGATCATATGATCTGAAGACTCAATCCTGAGGCAGCACTACTGAAAAGGGGAGGTGAAACCAAGACATTCTGTTCAGACAGCGTGAGGCTGCGAGCAGCACACGAGCTGCATCCAGCAGGCAGAGCAGAGCAGAGCTGCTGGACTGGGCTGGGCAACGTGTAGTCGGGAAACCACAGGAAAGCTTCATTTCTGGCCAGTCTGCCTTTTGTCAGGGTGCACCACTGGTGTTACTGGAGCAAAGGAAATCTGCTGCTCCACCTGATTAAAGGGAAAGGCAGTGAGAGCTACAGAAGATCACCGAGCAACTCATTTGATAACCACCTTGAACACCCCCTTGGGAGTGAATTCTACCCTTGGAGAGAACTGGTTCCAACTGACTGTCTGGAAAGTGGGATGGAAAGGATGCATGTTCCGAGGAAGCCTTTCACTGGCAGCAGAACAAAGTAGAGGAGAACTTTCACCTGCATTGCTGGCATTTGGGAAAAATAATACAAGAAAGAATTCTGGTGCCAGGATTCTTTTTTATTTTCTTCCTCACTAGTCCTAGAGAGGACTTTTTTTGTAGTCCCCTCCTGAGGAAAACACCAACCAGAACTCAGAATCCTGCAGACTTTCCAAAGAACAGGCATGGTACAAAATGTGATTTTGGTGTTTTTCCGCAGGCGACTCAGCCAAAGACCCGCTGTTGAGGAGCTGGAAAGAAGGAATATCCTTAAACGTGAGTATTTTTTTTCCTAAACTATTTTATATGCATTTGTTGAAATCTGTGATTGCATTTCCAGAACCTATTATTTTTAAATAGACAAATTCGTTCACTGGGATTATTTTTTGAACCTAAAAGTTTTAACTTTTCACAAAGACATGCAATTGAGGACAGAAAAGAACTGTTCAGATTCAGGCTTTCGAAAATAATTTTCATTCTGATTACACTGTTATGGGTGTCCAAGAGGGGAATACAATTCCCTCAGTGCCATGAGAATGGCACTGACATTTCTCAAGACATGGATTGTCAAGGGAAACCACACACTGGATACCACAGAGGCTGCAGTGGAAGGGGGAACATCCTTACAGGGGGGGGTTCTCTTAAAATACATTTTTTATGCCACTGGAGATCTTCCCAAAGACAAGTCAAAGATCATTCTGAGCTGTTAGAGTTATTAGAAGGACAATCCCAGTTACAGATGCTGCCACAGGGGAGTGTTCTCAGCATCTCTCAAATTCTCAAGGCAAAACTTGCAACTCTTTTCCTGAAGGTTGGTGTTCTGAGCAGGGGATCAAACAAGTGATGAACATAAACCCTTTCCTTACTGGGAATCCTCTAAGCTAGGGGAAGGTGAGAGGGAGATTTGAAATTGTCTCAGCCATAAGAAAGGGGGAATCCATATGCTTAAAGGAAAAGTTTATTGCTTCTTTTATTTTCATGGTCTAGTTAGTGTTGAAAGACAGAACCCAGAATAATGTGAACTATAATTTCTCACTAAACAAGCATAAATTTGTCATACAAGCAATGCTGCCTATGCAATTTAATTTATATTTAATCACAGGCTTGCAATTTGCTACTAAAAAAGTTACCTACATTGTGTTACCTAAAATTTAATGTCTCAGAACTTTCTTAGTGGTTTCTAAAAAAACCCCCTTGTGCTCTTGCCATGGAATTTACTGGGATTTCACTTCAGTTTTAACACAAAGAAATTCCACAGTCAACATACATTTACCAGTATTTTCTGTACTGTTCCAATGCACAGATCACACCCAGTAAAATTAACTGTATTTACCATTTGCATAGCTCCATGAGAAAAGGATACCCCCCTTGAAATGTGAGGGATGAACTTGGCCAAACTTCACCTGTCATCCACCACAAGAGGCAAGAAAAAGCAGTAACCCAAGATTCTGAAATAGGTTGGGCCAGATTTTCAAGAGTCAATAACCAAGATCTCTGAAAATCTGTTTCTTTGGGTTTTTTCCTGGCTAAGGAAGAGCTGATCTCTACTGAAAAATCTGTTCTTTTATGTTTACTTTTTAAAGTGTGCTGGTTACATCCTTAATCTGGGTTAAACTGACCAGCTTCAATAATAAAAAAAGTTTGAATACATTCATATAATGAGCTTAGAGAGAGATAAAGCAGAAAGAAGATAAAGCAGAATTAAAGATAGTTCCTGAATTCCAGCTAAACATACTGGGCTGGATTTGTATCTTATTTAAAGAGCTTCCAGCATGGAGCAAATTTATTGACTTCTGTTGAGTTGCTCAGGCTTTATACAGGTTCAGCTGAGATCAGAACCACTTCCATTTTATTTACCTCTGCCATTATATAAAAAGCTGAGTATCCTGTGAAGAGCTACAGGCACCACAGAGCTGTGCCAGGTATAAACTTCAACTGCTGGACAGGTGCAACAACTCTGCTCTCGGTTTTGAGTGAACTCAGAAATTAGTAAAGGCTCCTTTTATTAATAGAAATTTTTGTTATGGACTTTAAAATAGCTTTTAAAATAGACTTCAATAGCCTTCTTGTTATGGATTTTATGAAACCCCTCCATGGATTGGGTGTGACATGCAAAGCTGGAGAGTAGAGATGCCCTTCAGTGAAATCACCACAGCCTCCTCCAGGTACAAAGGGTTGTACGGCTTTAAACTTTGAATTTCCCAACCCCTTGGATGTTCATAGTTTATACTGCTGACAGAAGCAATGCTACCCCCAAAGCTCTCTTAAGGACTTATAAGTCACATTTGTACAACTCTGGCAAAAAGAGAAGCATATTGCACAAGCCTAAGTGCAACTCCTGTTATTTTAAAGCGAATCTCAGCAAGATTTCAAAAAGTGATTTCTTATCTCCCTTAGGGAGATGTTTCTGAGATTAACACATAAAAAGCAAACTGAAAGCCAACACTTTCTTATAATTTTGTTCATCTTCCAAGTCCTTTATCTACAGAAACACTGCTGGTTTCCCACCAAGCATGAAAAGCTTGAACTAAAATCACAACCCAGGTGTCAGATGTGTCCTCTGTCCTCAACAAAGAGCTGAATTTCACATTCAAGGAGGCATCTCTTGAACCACTGTGTGCAATTCTTATTTCATTCTTAGCTCAAGCAATTGTTTTAGTGTCGTGCAGAGCTGAGGGTTCCCTGAAGAACTGGCAGAGCAGCAGAATGAATTATAGCACTGCCCAGGCCCCCTCAGGATTGGGAGCATCTCTGCTGAGACTTATAAACCCAGCCCTCAGTAATGAATGGATCTGTGTGGGCAGAGTGATGGGGGTGGGAAAAGCCTCTCTGGATTGTCTCAGTAATAATGCCTGAGTTCTAAAATGCCCTTGCCAGCATTTCCTATCAAATCTTCCTTTTTTTTTAATTTTTTTTTTTTTGTTAAAGGACTATTTCTTTTATTTCTCGAAGCTGGGAATAAGCACTGAACCCGAGTGAATGTCAAATAGAAATGGGTCACTGCACGTTGAGTATATTTGGAAAAGCATTTTTTGATCAGAAATGTGTATTTTTGGCTTTCCTTTAGGAATTAGAATCATTGAATCATGGAATGGTTTGGTTGGAAGGGACCTTAAAGTTCATCTTGTTCCATGCCCTGCCATGGGCAGGGACACCTTCCACTATCCCAGGTTGCTCCAAGCCCTGTCCAGTCTGGCCTTGGACACTTCCAGGGATCCAGGGGCAGCCACAGCTCCTCTGGGCAATTCTCTCACTGCATATCACACCATGCCTTAGAAAGGTACCATACCACAGAAAATTCTCTTTTTTTAATAAAAAATATATATAGGAATATCTGCTCTAAAGGGGGTGATTTAAAGCTGAATGAATAACCTCTTGCAGGTATCTCTACATCTAAGAATACCCTCTGCTTTTTAAAGCCTGTTCTCTTTTTAAACATTCCCCACTGAAATAGCTGCTCATCCCTGACACAGCACTAATTTTAGCTGACCTGTTCTCTTTACATTTTGTGCCTTGCCACTGAACTGTAATAAAGCACATTCCAGCATTTTAAAATCTTGGATTTACGTTTCTACTACAGCCAGTTGTAGCTCTGCACTACTATGTTACTTTAAATAGATACCTATGATTGCATTTCAGTGTAGTCTAATGAGCATAAAAATCAGGGAGAACACTTCATTATTAAAAATAGCTTTTTGGAAACTCATCTGCAGTGCTGGTGGTTTTTGAGGCACATTAGAAATCACATGTGTGTTTAACACTGGAAATATCTAATGCAAGTGGTGTAATAAGCTTCACAGGAGCATCTGGAGAATCCCACAATGGTTAAACCTTTCTCTGCAGCTTTGTTCAGGTCATGGGCTCACTCTGAATTTAGTAACAGATAGTACTGGAAATAGAAACGCCATTAACTTGTTTCCTAAGGCAGGGGATGGATTTCAGCAGTGTTACAGCACTCCAGGCTATTTTTAGAGCCAGTGTGGAGGAGTTCTCACGGCTTGAATGTTAATAGGCACAACACACAAAGCCAGGCTGGCTGGGGTAGGACAGAGCACTGCAAAGGAACCCCCGGGAGGATAAAGAGCTCATCGTGGCAGGAATGGCAGGGAAAGCAAAACGTGCAGGTCACAGCCCAGCACTGCAGCACTGCCAACATGTAGCCTGAGAAAACCAGGAGAGAGGACAGAACATAATTTCCCTGGAGTTGCTGCAATAAGGCTCCTCAGCATCCAAGAGCAATGAATGGCTCCAGCAATGTGGAGAGTAAAACGTGATCATTAACCAGCTATGGGATATTTTGATTTTCCTTCTCAAGTTTATACAAGTGGAGAGTTGATGTGGTTGCTGTTTTATTAAATCAGCTTGGAGCTGGAGTTCAGAGCACAGGGAACCTGCCATTGGAAGCAATGCCTTGTCCTCCCAGAGAGGTAGCTCCATGCTCTGATACATGACACAGAGATGTACTGACTTAACACAACCAAGAACCAGCTCCTCATTTTTCTGTGCTCATTATTGCCTGGAACTTGGGAAAACACCAAACTCCCTCATGAGGAAAGTCATCTTTTTTTTTATATTCTCTGCAGAACGAAATGATCAGACGGAGCAGGAAGAAAGAAGGGAAATCAAACAGAGACTGACAAGAAAGGTAAAAACTTGCAATACCTGCTATTAGCTTTTAGAAATTGCCTAACAGAAATTGTAGAAATTAGCAAAGCTACTGTAACATCAACCAGTCATTATTACACAGAACCTCCCTTAATATACAACCTCCTCAGCAGTGTCTCATAGTGTTTAGTAATAGGAATTATAAAAATCCCTACCTTTTCTCAGCTCCATAAGACTTAGTAGAATACTTACATATAAACTGTAAGTCAGAATATATTGGGTATATATTGCTAGAAAAGGACATTTTCATTCATTGGAGCAGTAGCTGGCAGAGCTGAGTCCCTGCTGAGCCCCAGGTGTGCTCCAGTGGAACATTCCTCTTTGCGTTTGAAGTATTCCCAGAACTAGTTCTTGTTGTTCTGTTCCTGGGAATCCCTACGGGAATTACAAACCAAATACGCCGATAACTCGCTAAAGCCAAATTGAAATTCTTACAGTGGATCCAGCCATGAGAATCTCACGCAGACAATCTGCCTCTGCCTGTAGAACACCCCAACAGCATCCAGTGTCATCCAGAGAACATCCCAAATCCACCAGGATTCCTTTACATTTTGCAAAGGGTAGCTAGGTTAAAATATTTTTCTCTTTTGTCCATTTTAAAGGCACTGTGCTGCAGCCCATTTAAACCATTACTGCTCTGCTAATGGTCCTCCAAATGATTAATATTCCCTGAAATTTCCAAGGGTTGGGTGGTTTTCCCTCCACATAAATGCACACTAAGCTAAGAAGCAGAAAAATCGCATATTTTACTGATACCTTTGTTATTAACCCTGGTTTTATTTTTCTAAACTACTGAATACAGCTTAACCAGAGACCTACAGTCGATGAACTGAGAGACAGAAAAATCCTGATTCGATTCAGTGATTATGTGGAAGTGGCAAAGGCACAGGACTACGACAGGAGAGCAGACAAACCATGGACACGACTCTCAGCAGCAGACAAGGTACTGCCAGAGCTAAAATCACACACAACTGCTTTCTCCTTGCTTTTTCTGGAATGATACATCACATTCTGCAATGACATTTAACCACTGGAACATTTAATCTCTGTGCAGTTCACCATTATTTTCTATGCTGAGATCACACTGACCAATGCATCCTGTCAGGAAAAGTGCTATTTATAAAAATGCCTATTTAGTGCTGGAAGGGCTTCTACCCAGCCCACCCAAAAAGGTGGATGCAATCATTGGGCTCCAACTCAAAACCATTTCCAGCCAATATAACATTAACATTTCTTCTCAGACTGGAAGTTTTGTCCCAGACACACAAATATTCTCTGCTATGTTTCTAAACATGCAAAGATTTCCTCTCCTCTTTCCTAGGAATGCTCAAGGAGTCACTTGACCCACATTCTCAGGAGCATAAACAAACACTCCGTTTGTGTCACACACCTGCCACTCACTGATTTCCATCCCAGTTGAACTGTCACATTTAGGTCCTTGAGCAGTAAGAGCAGTTCAGCTCTAGATTCCAGCTGGAACTGCTGCTGGATAAGTTGGGAGGTTTCAGGGCTGCAGGAAGCAGGAGGAGGAGGGTGCTGAGATTTACTGGCAAAATGGCAAACACAGGACTGTTACTCATGGCTTTGTTCTGAGATGTGGAGATCGAACCCTTCAGTCTCCATCCTCAGTAAAAAAAACCAAATGGGTTCAGAGGACTCATATAGAAAAGGAACAGAGCATTTCTCCTCCAGCAGCTCTTCTCCTGAGCAAAATGGTGAATATTCTATAGTAATCAATAAATAATGATTTTGTATTTTCCTTGTAGGTACTCAGCTTTTATTAAAATTAGGCTTTTCCTAGTTTCAATTATTGCTAACAAGGCAGGTTCATAAGCAAAACCAAAGTGACAGTTCAACTGCATGTGCTGGTGGCTCCCACCAGGGAGTCAGGGTCAGGAGCTGAACTGGAAAAAGGATCAATTGCTTGGCAACTTCTGTTAGTCTTTAATAAATTTTAACTGGAATCTTATTAAATGTGAGACAATAAGCCCCGGGGTGTTATTCTGTCAGAAGTGCTTCTAGACAGCAGTGGCTCTGTCAGCAATCAATAATGAATGAGAAGGGTTGTGTCACCAATCCATAGAACCTCAATATTCTGTGTCTCTGCCAGCACAGAGGGCTCTGCTATACCCAATACCTGCTATTTCTACTATAGAAAACTGTTCTGCAAGTCTGGCATTTTGCAAAGCTCACAAATATAAAATTACTTTTCATATATAATTATTTGTTTTTCTATTTTCAATCCCCAGGCAGCAATTCGGAAAGAGCTGAATGAGTACAAAAGCAATGAAATGGAGGTACATGCATCCAGCAAACATTTGACAAGGTCAGTTTTCCACCTGTTTACTTCCATTGCCTGCTAAAAACAGTCTCTTGAGTCTTGAATCTGTACATTTTATTCTTATGTGATGTGGGAGAAGAATATGCAAAGGGAGCTTTGTTTTAAAAGAAAATGGAAGTATTTCCCTTCCTGTTCAGAATTTAGATTTTCTGATTTTGTTGGGGCTTTTATTAGCATGTACCCAGGAGACCTTCTCCAGAGCATCCCTCAGCCAGCATTCCTTGCACCAAAGATCCAGAAGATAGGACAAAAAATTAAATGTAGGGTAAAATGTACAAAACAATATGCGTTTTTTGAAGCAGAAGAACAACTTAATACACTGTCTAAAGGTCTCTGAATTAAATGTACTTTAGCCTGCAACATTATCACAAACACTGCAGCTTGCCTGCTAAGAAATATAAAATTCTACCTGCAGTAACAAACACACCTAATGCCCCTGGGTAATGCACTTGTTCTAATTGGATTTGTTCTAATGGATTCAGCCGGGGGATTTCAGGATCCCCTGTCAGGCCATTTGCTCTTGGAAGGAGTGCAACCCCCCAGGGAACTTCTTGGCAGGCAGGTGAGGACTGCAGCAGGTCAGGAGAGGGAACAAGTTTGGAGTATTGCCACTCTGTCACATTCCCAGGCTTATTCCTGAACTCACAATGAATTCCAGCTTAACTGAGCTCAGGCTGGTCAATGAGCAGATGGTCCAGGCAAACACACTTCAGCTGTAAATGCAAAGTACAATGTGATATTTATGTAATTCCAGACTGTTCCTGCAATTTAAGGCCCTTTTAACACAACAGGAGTCAGACCCAGTGTTTAGGGCAAAAATCATCACTGCACTGATGGAATGAAACGTGGGAGGGGAAAAGGGGATGGCTGCAGTGTCAGCCTGAGGGTGACACCTACATTCTCTAACTGAAGCTACCTGGGGAGTTTAGGGAGATGATAATGATAGATTTGGATATTTGTTCAGGATACTAGGAATAAACAGGCTTACAATTTACAGTTAGTGCTAAGGCATTTCAAATGACTGGAACTTTAACTGCGTATCTCAGCCTAAAGAACAAGCCTACAGAGCAAGAGGATATTTATTCCAGACTCATAATCACACATTCCACCAACAGTAGCTCCTCAGACTTTATGAAACATCATAAAGATGATAAAGAGCTAACATTGTTAGCTCTTACAAAAGAACAAAATCACCACACAATAAAGAATATTGCCACCAATGACAACCTGTGGCTTCATTTGCTAAAAGAAAAGAACCTCAAATCAACCCCACACCTGTATTTGCATTTTCACTCCCAAATTGCTGTAACTGGTTAAACTGGGCCCTGAGGATCATCCTGGCACATGGTGAAAATGAAGACTTAGAGGTGCTGATATTCTTCAGTACTTTTACTGTACCTTTAAACAGAGTGAATAGTTTTGTGGGCTTTTTAAAATTTTGTTAATCTAACAGAGAATTGAACTACCTTTTGTTTTCTATTTCAAAGTGGTTTGATGAATGTCTCTCATCTCTCCCAGATTTCACAGGCCATAGAAATTTTCTTCTGAGAAGAATCTGTCTTTACTTTTTGATATTGCTGCTGAACACGCATCAGGGAATATCTGAGTCTTTCCCTCCAGTTCAGAGCAGGATCCCTTGGTGTTTGTGTGAAGGACTCTGAGCTGAGGTCTCTGCAGCACTTATGGACAGAGAGCCCAGGGCTGCCCCTCGCTCTGGAGGCAGGAGAGCCCTGGCCTGGGACTGGGACGAGCTGCTGACAAAGACTGAAGCAAAGCAACTTGGAAGAGCCTCCTACTCTCCTTTCACACTTGTTTGGAACTGTTTTGCAGCCTGTCTTGGAAGAGGAGATGTTGTGCATGTACAGGCTTTACCATTCCAAGGCCTCTGACATAAACGGACATGACACACTGTCATCCAGTATTATGTTGACGAGACATTTTGAACTTGCCACAATTAGTTTGTAAAACACTTAAGTTCATGTTCTAAAAACTAATTTAATGTATTATAATTTCATTCTTTTTTATATAATGTCTAACAGAATCACAGCTGCAAGCATTTTTGATTCCTGTTACTTTTGTTCTTTAATTAAATGACTACTTATTGCAGGAAATGAACATGTTTCCTAAAGCTCTTTTTTTCCCAGGGACAGTTGGGAAGGGATTAGAATTATTCTGCACCAGACCATTAGACTTCTTCATCAACATGAAGTCTGCAAAAAGAAGATCCCAACTAAGGTTTTTCCATCTCATGGAATAGCAGAATCTGATTGTCATCCTCCACTACTTGAGGCTCTGACCCTCTAAAGAATGACAATTAAGTTCACTGTTATTCTCATTCAAATTGGACAAGCACAGGTAGAAATGTAACAATGTACTTTGATGTTTGGCAAACAAATGATTTTAATGCTTTCTTGACAGTAAGAAGAAAAAAGTTACTAAGTGCTAATAACAAAGCAAATAGAACTGGTTGAGAAAAATGTAAAGCCAGACACTCTAATAATGCCTGACATGGAGGAGCATCTGAGTTTACTCAGATTACTACTAAAAAATACTTGGGGAAAAAAACAAACACAGACAGCTGGAAAACACACCTGAGACAAGAACAAAATGGTGAATACACTCCCAAACACTTCTCTGCAAGACTCTTCAGTGCTATAACTTTAGGGAGTCATTCAATGTTAAAAACTTGAGAAAGGCATTCTCAGTCTCGTAGCTTCACTGAGCTGATTCCATGGAGTGTGACAACAATAAAATCCAGTATTTCAAATGGATGGCACAGACTACGACTGAGTTGCTGCAGGTGGGGAACAGTCAGCACACAGAGCCAGGTCTGTGTGCTCAGGGTGGGGATGGACTCACACACACGGTCCTGCTGCTGGAGAATGGGAGGTCAGAACAGCAACACTTCACTGTGTGTCACTAAGGACACGAGAGGGAACTGAGGACTCCTGGGGGAGGTGCTGTCCAGGATGGGTGACACTGGCTGGCTTTGCTGGAGCCCGCTGTCACTTTGTCCAACATTTTCATGTTTGACCTGTTTGACTGTCATTTGAAGACCTGAATGACCCAACCACTTGATCCAAAGATGTATTTTTTCCTCTTTATTGCAATTTTTCAACTTGCTGGATTTTCACAGAAATATGCATCATTATAACTAGCTTTTTAACTTACTACTATATTTATCCATCATTTTAATTTGATTATTAATACAATAGTATTAATTCTTAACAACAATATAATGAGAGTCCAGATGCAAGATACAAAAAGGCTGAACAGAAAGGAGAGAAAAGTTTCTTCAGCAGAGGCATTTTTAGTGTGAGAACAGCAGATGAGGCACTGTTAACTACAAACTAAACTTGGCTTATAGTCCATGAAAATAACAATCCATACTTCCATTGCTAATAAATGCTGTATAAAACACATTAAAATGATGTTGGAAAATAAAATAAAGATAAAAATATTTGAAGGGTAACTTAGAGCAGCTGTTTAAATGCCAAACAGTGCCTGTGAGCTTTGTCACTGATGCAACTCAACCATGTTGGAGCTGTGCAGGGCCAGCTTCGCTCCTTCCCCTGCTCTCCGCTGTCCTTCCAGCACGTCCTTCCAGCACAACCAGCCCAGCCTTTGCTCTGCTCCTGTGGAGACAGAATTCCAGAGCCACACTTGATCCCACTGATCCCCTGATGACACTCTGCTTGCTGCTGGCAAGTCTCTGGGGATGTTTGGACACTGCCTGCACTCCCTGGGCCATGGATTGGGCTTGGGAACAAGGATGGCACCATGGAAGGCAGGTGTGGCTCAGGGAGGCTCTCCTTGTGCAGCTCCTTCCCAATGGAAAAGGCAAACAGGCCTGCAGTGCCCAGTTCCTGTCCCTAACTAAAAATAAGGCACTTGTATTATTTTTCCAACGTACCCTCATTGTAAGAGATAATTTGGACCTTCCAGTGCACTTTTAAAAACCTTGTACAATTCAGAGAAAACTCCTGTTTCATGCAGATAAAATTCAATTGGACCAGTGGAAAGAAAAGTTTACCAGCTCAGGAGGTCCATCTAGTGGAGAACACACTGAATACAGGCCAAAAAAACCCCCAAACCACACAAACCTGAGGCTCAGGAAGATGAGCAAAGCATTAGTACACTTACATAGGTGGGATGAGTGGACCCAATTATTTACTGGCAATTTCAATATAATGATTTTCAGACACAACACAGCCTTGTGTTTCTAAAATTCTTACACAAAATATTTGTGCAGCAGCTTTATCTGACTGATGTGCAAATGCATATTATTGATTTGAAGCAAAACAGCAATGACAGCATCGTGGGGAAAAAAAGAAAGACAGACAACATATATTTTTCTGGACTTGTTTAATACAACTATTTGCAACATAGTTCAAACACAAGTGTTTAGAGTGTTGTTTTCTCTTAGAAACTCCTGCTGAAGTCTAATACCACAAACAAGACTGAAATCAAACCAGGTGACTCGATCCCTAAATATTTTCTGACTCCATTCTGGATCAGACAAAGTGGGTCTTCTGTACATACAGGCCCAAAACAAAGATTCAAAGTAAAATTCAATGTGACTTCTCTGGCAGTCATTTAAATAACCTATACAAATTGTTACAGACATATTTAAAAGTAGCACGTGCTAAAATAAAATTACATATTGCATTTTAGCAGATTCAGTAAAATAATCCCAAATCTCACAGGTAAGTGGGGAAGTTTTATCCACAAAGATTTTAATATTATTAAGGAAAATATGGTTTCATTACAACAGTTTCCTTGAGTGTAAAAAAAAAAAAAAGTTGTCAAATTTTCCATTATAAAAGAGTGTTTATATTCACCTTGAAGCTCAGGAAGGAATCTGAAAAACATCCCTTCAGAATTCAGTCTTTGATCGAAAGAGGGTCTGCAATCCTCTGCGAACATTGCACAGCTCCTCTTCTTGCTGTGCAAAAAACATCACACTTATCACATGCTTTTGAAAAAAGGAAGGTTTTATTTAGCATGTTGTACTCCTGGTGCACAGAATATGCTGCTTTTAACATATCAAACAGGATACTTTTCCACATATTAAGACTCAGAACCAAAGTAGTACATTCACACCTGTGGCTTTTATCACCCAGGTAAGGCCTAAAGTGTAACATGTGAGTGATACTTGGATTTAAAATCTTAGTAATTTAGTGTTCAGACAGCAAAAAATAAATAAAAATGAGTGCATGATGACTTCATTTACCATTTCTTTTAGAAGTTTCTCTTGGAGTCCTTTTATGTCTTCTTTCATCAGATGCATCTGCAAAAAAGATCCTGAATGCATCTCCTCTGCTCATACTGGTGACACATTTTCAAGCAAACAATTACATCCCTAAATGTTTTATAACCAAGAGACAGAGAGGTACATGCATCCACCTGCCTATGGAAAGGGATTTGTATTTTAAATTTGTTCTTTCATATTCATAAACAAAATAAACAAAGGCATGGAATCCAGAATAAATCTTGGTAACTGCACATGTCTTCTAATGGGTGAAATCTTGGCCTAAAACAGTGAGTATTGTTAAATTAAGGCCATTTTATGAGAACTAAAATCTAAAAAAAAGTATCATCAATACAGTGCTAAGGATAAAGTCTTTCTTCAGAAAAAAAAGTCAGTACTGGTATCTGTTGGTGCAATTGAAGAATTATTAAAACAAGAGTGAAACAAAAGCTCCTCATACAAAACAAAAGTTCCTCATACCTCTGAAGTAAAAACACGTTCTTCATAGTCAACAGAATGGTAGATATTCTTTTCAAATGAAGTTTTAAGAACCTGAATTCTAAAGAAACAAAACACTGTTCAAACAGTTTTGCTAGGTATAAACTTCCCACACAGACCACAAATAGGCCCCATTATTTGTAATCTATTTGTACTTTAAAGTGTGGATAAATATCATCATTATTGCTGGAACAGTCCCTCAGGTATGTGGAGAAATTTAGATGGAGAATCATTACATTTTTCCTGTAATGTAATATTTTAATCTAATTTTCTCATCTCATCTACCATCTCTATTTAATGGAAGAAACTGCACAAGGAATATCAGTTGGCCTGACTTGTCCCTCAAATGAACAGCCCACAAACCTCCTCCCAGAACTGACAGAGCCCACTAACCTCTGCTGCTCATTTTTCATGTAAGTACTCAAAGTACTTGTCTGTTTTTTCCAAAAGGTCTGGAAAGAAAAAATATTAACAGATGCTGATCAATAGAAACTGATTTTCCAAGCCAAAACTGACCAATATCTCATACGAATAAAATAACCCACAACCACAGACTCAGCAGAGTTACCCAGGATTTACACAGTCCCCACAGAAGCTGGAAAACCAGCTCAATAAATTACTACTAATAGTTTATCCTAGGAGGAAAAACATATAGGAATTCATATAGTTAATATATATAGGAAAAACATGTAGTGACCAAGGAATTCTAAGAGCATTGGCCAATCCCAACATCTCAAATTCACTGTTTGACATTTCACCCAACCTGAAGCAAAACGATAAAGGCTTTTAAATTTAAAATTAACAATCCAAAGTTAAAGATGACATGGACAATCTATGGATCCCATAAGAATTCACTTTTCCCCACGATCCAGCTGTTTAAATACAAACCGAGAATTCTTTTTCCATGTTTTTCAGGGACTGAGAATCCTTTTCAAAATTCTCAAGTTCCTCAATGAGAGTAAAATGAAATTTGTCCAGCTGCCTGATCCTACCAAAACAAACCAGGTTACTTTTAGAAGGTATTCCTTGCATTTGAAGGATGTTTTAAAGCACATCTGTCGTTACTGACCTGCATTCATGGAGTTGGTAACTCATTGTTGTCAAATGCTGATGGGCAGCTTTTAATGTTTGCTTATTAAAATGATCCATTTTCCGGGAGCGGTTCTGGGAGGGTGTTTGAGTATTAAATTCAGATTATTTTCACTTCAGGGAAAAAACTGTAATATGTTTAGTACTCTAATTGCTTAATATCACATTTTTTAAAATGGTCCCCCTGTCCTTTGGGGAGAAGCTTTCTCTTAGTGACATGTAAACACACTTGGGGTTATGCTTTTGATGAAATTCTGCCTAATGTAAGTAGAA